TCTTTCCCTCTATCACTTTCCTCTCCTCTGTTCTTTTACTTCTCTCTCCTATACCTTTCTCTATTCTCTTCTTTTCTTCCTGCTCAATTTTCCATTCACCTCTCTTCTCAATTCTTCCTTCCTTCATCTAAATAGGTGTTTACTAAGAGCATACCTTGTGTCAGGCATGCTCCTAGACACTAGGGATACAACAATAAACAAGTTTGGCTTCAGGAAACTTACATTCTAGTAGAAGAGACATCGACCTTTTTTCTTCCAACCCTCTCTTCTTCTTCTTTCCTCTCTTTGACTATTACTGTTTCTTTCCCTCGTTTCTTCTCATTTCTTCTCACTGTACCATATTCTCTGCTCCATCCTGAAATAAATACATAGTCCCACCAAACTGTAAGATGCAGGCACCATGACTTACTCTTCACAGCACATCCCTTACACTTAGCACAGTGTCTTGCACACTCTGCAAGTATGTGCTCAACTCAGTTCTCTATGTCTTGTTTTTCTCATGAGTTCACACATTAAGCTTTTTTCTGCAATTCCCTAATAACTCCCAAGGCTCTCCTGATTCCAATCATTCTCAATTATCTAGAGTGTGAAACCAAAGAGCTACCTCAATGTGGGAACAGCACAATTTATGATTTTCACCCACCATATGGGCTAAACTGATATATGAACCCCTACTGCAGTGGTGCAGTGAGGGAAGCTTTAGTTCTCTGTATATAGATGTCATTAGTACAGGGCTGACTCCTTTCATGCAAACATTTTATCATGAAGCTAATCACTTTACCTTTCTACATCAGATTAAGAGAATTATTTGTGTTTATAACTCTACACCTCTACTGCATTTTGTAAAGCACCTTACTCTGGTATAACACACAACAGGTCTAGAAGCAGAAACCTTCACGTTCAATATTTACTTGGCTTTTCTAAACTTCCATTTTCTTCCCTAATAAAACATAAATTAATACTTAATTTAAAGGGTTCCTGTAACTATGAAGAATACTTTTAAAGTTCCTAACATGGATTTGGAAGCATAGTATATTCCCTATAAATGTAACTGTATATTATTAACCAATTTTACTAGTTTCGTAAGAAATATTTTTCTGAAAAGTAACTTAAATGTTGTCTTCTAGGGAATTCCCTAGCAGTCCAGTGGTTAGGCC